CTTGCACCTTAAAGGTAAACAGGATAAACATATCCTCAATGAAATCATAGCTTAATATATTGTTCTGGAATCCACTGTCTTTGCAAGAGTCTTGGTAAAGTGTACTCTGACCTTTTTCTGGACGGATGGGCACATTTTCAAGAGATTAGTTTATTGATTAGTATAATGGTCATATCAAATAAAATGAGAAAAATAATAGTGTATTGAAATATTAAAAATATTCAATGAAATAATCAGGTAAAATCATTCCCTTGGCAGTTGATCCCAACCTGATCTAGATAAAAAGTTCTCAGTTGAATGGAAACTTGGCAGTCTTTCTTACTGTCCATATGTAGCTTATTGATGGGGTCACATTTTCAAATGAAGGTGTTGGGCTAAAGCCGTTCATCACTTTCATTGTCTAACAAAACTTATGGACTATAATTAATATCCTGAGGTGTTCTTTGAAGTAAAGATGATGGCTGTGGAGGCCATTCCTTTGTTTTGTAGAACAAAATATTTTATAAGTGAGAGAGACTAGTTTTTGACTGCACATTCCTATATACGTGCCTTTGTTCCAATCAAACAGTATGAATTATCATTGTGGGGCCTTAAAATATTTAAGGTTGTATCCAATTTGTTCATTCATTAGTGAATGGGAGAACAGGCTACCTCCTCTCCTCTGTACTATTCACATTTCCCAAAGCAATGTTAGAAGGCTGTAGGGGAGAGATCCTTTACATGAGTAGTTAATTTACACTCTAGCGCTGGATTCACCAATATAGTGCTCATAAGAATGCTGATATGCTCCTGGATGTTTTTTTAATATTCAGCTGGTTCCTTGCCTAATTGTGTTTTTATAGTTTAATAAAACTACATAACAAAAAGAAAGAAAGCTGATATTTCTTTTTCATTAACAAAAATTAGAATTTAATCTTTTGTTCACAGAGCCTGTGAAGCAAAAGTACTGTGATTAGCACTTAAACACTGTATATTTTGTTCCAAACCTGGAATATGTTTTACATCAAAAATATATAGATCTAGGATAGATGTACACATTTTACACAATACTGTGATATCTATTTCTGGAATTGTATGATACACATTCTAATCTGTCATTTCATTCTGGTGATATTTTCCATATTTTTATGACAATTATTTGAGATAATCAAGACTTTAGTACACTGCTGGTAAAACCTCCTCTATTTAAATTTCCTGATAAGACTGGTTTCTATCACATAAATGACAAGGGACAAAAGGTGCGTGCAGCTGGCCATAATGGGGAAGGGGCACCTTCACAGAAGGCAGCATTGAAACAAAACAAAACAAAAACAAAAAAATCCAAAAAGATACTCGGTGTGAACTAGGATAGGAAGAAGTTCATTGCTTAGCTCTTTAGAAGGGAAATGATTAACAGGCAGGAAATGCTCATCTTCAAATATACTTCCTCGGTCACATGACAATTACTTTCCTCAAATCATTGATGTATAGTCTCAGACAAATATTGGATTAAAAATAAAGAGACAATGCTGTGGCAACAGGAATATGCAATGGCAATGCTGTAAATCTTTTTAGTAGCTCCTACTTTTTTCAGAATTATGATACTTCGTATGCTTTTTTTTTCAGTATGAATATTGCAGTGGTGGGATTCAAATATGTGAACAACCGGTTCTCTGTATGGATGCCCTTCCGGAAGTCCATTCTGGGCCTGGGCAACAAAAAATTAGCTACCGTTTCTACTGAACTGGTGCGAACTGGCGCAAAGTGGAATACTGCATACCTTAATATTTTCGTGTGTCTGAGTAAGAATTGCAATATCACCAGAAAATGTAAAATGCAATAATGAAATGGGAATGATCCAGTATGATCATAAATGAAACTAGTCAGATTTGCAATTCCTCCAGCTGTATTACAGGTACATTCATTCAAAGACTGAACAACCTTTTTTCTGTTTAGCATTATGTTCCCTCAGGGATAATCTATTTGGGTTGCAGTATGGATAAAGCTAATGCAAGTGAGGCCAAAGATTATCTTGAAGATCTTTTCCAGACAAGATTTAGTCCCAATCTGAACATACAGTATTTAGTCACTCCAAAGGATAATCTGTATCGGGGAGAGAGCCTTGTTCATATCCCTGAATTGCATCAACTTTTGTTACAGATAATTACAATATTTTTGGAAACACTTGAGAGAGCCACAGGAGGACTACAGAAAAAAAATATGATACTTAGAGGCCTTCCCTACTGAGGACAGGACTAAACCTCTCTTAATACTTTAGGACTTTAGGCAGATTTTGTTTTTGCTGTAGTTCAATATTTGCAAACCATCCAGAGCAGGGGTAGGCAACTTTGGCTCTTTTATGACTCATGGACTTCAACTCCCAGAATTCCTAAACCAGCTATGCTGGCTCAGGAATTCTGGGAATTGAAGTCCACGAGTCATAAAAGAGCCAAGGTTGCCTACCCCTGATCTAGAGATACATATGGGTATTGTTTGCATCATGCCAAAGTTGGTAGGACTCCCCCCCCCTCCTTTCTCCTCCCCATCTCTCTCTCTCTTCTCAGATGTCAGCTTTTCCTTTTAAGGAGCAGGGAATAAGGAGAAGACACTTATGAAAGATCTGAATGGATCTTTTGCAGAGAAATTTTGAAATTAGGTTGAAGGATACAAGAAATTGATTCAAGGACTACATGTGATTCACTCTTTACTTGTGCTTGTCTGAAAGAATAATTATCCCTCTCATGTTTAATTTGTGATATATTAATAGATTTCTAAACCATTTGTACAACTTAGTGATGTACAAGAATGATTGCAAATCTGAATGTAAAACAACCACAGTCTAATCATCACTATGTAATAAAAAATTACAACAAATAATCTAATTGGAGAAATATAAACATTTTATTTATTTATTACATTTCTATACCACTTATCTCACCTTAGGTGCTTACAGTAAAAAAAAACACATCTATTTGGTTGGTCTCAGATATAATGGAATGTATGGATGATCTTGAGGAAAGGAAAGAAGAGATGCGGACTAGAAAACAATCGGACAGGAGGAGCAGAAGCTTGCAGTTGCTTAACAGTGAGAGAAAGAAACTAAGGAAGGACCCATCCTAAAAGACCAAGTAGTTCAAAGTGAAAGATAGGAAATTTGTAGTTTCAGACTTGCAATATTCTGTTAACGTAGCGTTACAATAAAGTAAATTTAGCTCATCTGGTTGGGTTTTCTCACTGGTTTACCAACAAAGGCTGACATCGCCCTGTAGTAGAATTTTTAAAAATTGTTTCTGGAAGAATAACTCAGAGGCCTAATTTGACTTCCCAGGGAATAATCACCACATTCTTCTGGCCTCAGCTCCCTAATTTCATAATAGTCAGAGACAAGTAATTTTTTCTCAGATAATTCATAATTCTACTTGAAGCATATAGTCCTGAAGGTACCTCAGTATCAAAGCATTTAGGAATGTAAGGTTAAAAACAGATTTAGAGTACATCTAGAAATTTATAGCAGCCATAGTTGCTAATAAAGTAAAGTTCTCATGGGCTTGTAGCACCTACTGCAAGTAACTTGTAGGCCACTGCATTTTGAAATACCTCATTTCCAAACTGTCTTTAAAGACAGCCCCATATAGAGTATATTGCTGTACGGAGAAGAATGGCCTTGTGGGACAGGAAGAAGAAACACTAGCAAAATAATGATCAGAGAAGACTGAATCCATGGCAGGAATGTATAGCTGAGGAAACACCTCTGAGAAGCCCCTCCTGGGTTCTCACAAAGATAGAAAAACAAAGAACAGAATCACAAGATTCTGTCACTATAACTTTACAATAAAAGTACTTCTAAGCTACATGACAGTGGATCCCAGTCTGATAGACCTTGAATGTCTGACATCTGCAGTAGTTTAACCAGTTGATGAATATATGAATTACTCTTATAATGTCTGCTCACTCCAGGTGGTATACCAGCCTGATGGCAAGGCTGTCCTGGCCACAGCTTCCATCTGCTAAACTAACAATTTTGTGAATCTGGGACAACTTCTTAGAGCAGTTCAATTCCTTCAAGAGAGAATATGAGAACTGACAGAGAATCTCTCTGAAAATGGAACAATTTCATCTTGCTTGGCATTAGCTGTTTATTCTCATCTATACCCCAAGAGTCTCTAGACACTGGGAACTTCAACTAAAGCTAAAGCTAAAGCAACCCATAGAAGTTATATATAACTGTTTTGTTTTCTTTTGTTTACAAAAAAGGCTTGTTAAAGTATTGAGGAAGACTATTCAGTAGGATAAAGAAGAATTGAAGAGAAATCAAATATTCTGACAATATTTGAATGAACTAAAGATTAAGATTTTCAGCGGTAAAAGGAAGGAATATAATATTGATTTATCTGAACAAGGTTAAAATACAATATTTGTTCACCGTTAAGCGAACATAATCTATACAGTGGCTTCCTCCTGATTGCTACAGTGCAATTAGTCCAGGAAAGGAAGGTTCCCTTCAGACTCCCTCTTTAATGCTATGTAAGATAAGATAAGATAAGATAGGATAGGATAAGATAAGATAAGATAAGATAAGATAAGATAAGATAAGATAAGATAAGATAAGATAACCTTTATTGTCATTTTTATACTGTGGGCACAATGGCACACTTCAAAAATGAAATTTAGTTGCCCGCTCGCAAAGTGAAACACGTACATGACACACACCTAAACATACTATGAACAACATATGTATAGACCCAATCCCTACATATACATAGCAAATAAATATTAAATATTGTCCATCTTGAATATATAACAGAAGGAGGAAGCTTGAGAGTTCGCAAGGTTAATGCTGTATGGAATGAAACTCTGGCTGAATCTGGAGTTCTGCTTCGGATACCACGAAGCCTCCTCCCAGAAGGTAACAAGGAAAACAGGTTGTGAAGAGGATCTGTAGTGTCCCAGATAATCTTACGGACCCTGCTCAAGCAGCGCTTCTGTGCCATGTCCTGGATGGGAGGGAGGGACCTGCCTATGATCTTTTCGGCCATTCTCACCACTCTCTGCACTGCCTTCCTGTCTGAAGCCTCCAAACCAGACTGTGATGTACAGAATTCTTCTATGGAGAAGTATCATTTTCTATTGCTGCTTCCCTCTCTGAAACAGCTTTGTGATCTGGCTTAGATGCAGGAGAAATAGTGTTGGCTTCCAGCCTGGTTAGTTTCAAAAAAAGGTTGGACCGAATTATACAAGTCATGAGGACTGTGGGGATTAATGATATTAGTACGCCTGCCTCTGAAGGCCATCTGCTGGGAGACTTGTGGGGTTTTTTGTGCAGTTGTTGGGCACTGTGAAAACTGATTCTAGACTAGATGTCCTTGGATCTAATCCAGCAGGGCATTTCTTAAGTTTTTATTCCCTTGGAGTATTCAATTTTATTTGTTTGTTTGTCATATTTAAGAACAACCCATCTCCCTCACAGAGGGGCTTGCCCCAACATTACTGAAATTTGAAAGCAACTAAAAATTAATTCAGCAGGGCTTTGAAAAAGCAATGACTTAAGAGACATTCCTCCTATATAGGATATGCAACTATATGAGCATGATTTCTTGGCACAGGAATCTTCTAGTATGTAATTGTTTATTGTTGGATATTTTGGTTACCATATCTAATCTTGTTTCCATATGGCAAGACTGTAAACCTCTAAGGATTGATTGACGATTGGAATGGCATATAAGCCTAGTTAAATAAATAAATGCATACATGTGTTTCTTAAGTTATTCTCTCCACTGAAGTTGTTTACGTTAATTCTTATTAACTAGGAGTACAATTACTAGCAAAAAAAATCTGTCTTCAGTATAGTTGAAACTTGAGGAAGATAGAGAAAAAAGTGAACTGAATTTAAATCTAAAAAGGACTTTACTCCAAATCAAAAATGTTTGTAACATCTTTTCCTAATCAGCTTATACTTAATGTATACTCAATTCTAATGGAAGCCTTTGTTCAGTTATACATTGCACGCGTGTCTGTGTATGCCTGTGTATTTCTGTCTGTGTGTATGTATTCATCCATAATAAAAGCAAGATATCATTTTCTTATATTTTCTACAGTTTCAATTTTTAAGTTGTAATTCTTTGACATAGATGTCCACAGGAGCAGGATGAGACATGCAATGACAACGTCACAACAGAACTACAGAAAGGCAGAGCTTTCATCCTGATGTCGCATTTCATCATTTTGGCATCACTGTGGTTAGGAACAGAGTTTGAGCAATGGAATATTGAATTCATCCACAAAACACAACAATGGCTATAAGATGTTAAGTACACATTCTGGCGCTGATTCAGTGGGGTCATACTACTGAATAAAAACTTTTCTACTTTTAATATCGTCCACGCACTCTCAGTATTTGTTGCCAGCTTGGAGAAATCTTCTAGGTGGAATGGTTGCACCCATAGCAATCAGGAAAAGCCATTGTACAGATTATGTTCACTTAATGGTGGACATAGGTTAACATTCTCTTGTTCTGTAATGGTCTGTCTTCTATGGTCTGTTATAAAGTATAATTTTTATTGTATGCCATCTAGTTGATACCAACTGTTAGCTACCATATAGTACACCTTCTTGAGAATTATTAGAGATTCATAGAATATAATGGTTGGAAATGGCTTTGTTCAGGATCCTAATCAGCAAACACTATCCTTTTTTATGAGATTTTACCGATTCTCTCAGATGTTTTGAACCCATTTAAAAGTTAACTCATTTTCCATGCTCCAAAAATACATTAATCTCCAGTACAGTTGACTATATTGGGAAGAATTAAGGTCAGCCGCATGAAGATTTTTTTCTAAAGTGTTTCTAGACTAACATAATGTGCTTTATATGGGGCTGCTCTTAAAGAGTACCCAGAAGTTTCAGCTGGCACAGAATACAGCAGCGCAGGTATTAGGTGTGCTCCTAGAAGCACACATGTTACACCTCTGCTGGGTGAGCTGCATTGACTGTCAGTTTGTTTTCTGGTCCAATTCAAGCTGATGGTTTTAACCTTTTAAGAACTTCATGGTATGGGTGCAACTTATCTAAGGGACCCCTCTCCCCAGTTATATCTGCCTATTCCATTAGATCTGGCAGAAAAGACATATTGCAGGTCCATCTGGCAGGCACCAACATTTGATGGGTTCCCGGAGGTGGGCCTTCTCTGACATGGCCCCTGCCCATGAAACACTCTTCCTATCACTCCCAATTCAGGCTAGCTCCATCCCTACTATCATTTTGGAAGTCCCTGAAAACCTGGTTATGTCACCAGGCCTGGGAGTTTCAGGAAACTGGAGATATTTTTATATGGCTCTTTCATAGTTGATCCTACTCTCTCTGTGTGATTTGTATATTTTAAATTTTTTATAGTTTTTTTTCATTTTTAATATTTATTTTTAAACATTTTACTTGTTATTTTATTGATTGTTGCACACCACCCAGACACATTTTTTGTGAGAAGGGAAGCTATATACTGTAAATGTAATAAATACTTTTATGTTTTTTGCAGACATTTAAGTGGATCTGAGCTTTCTGAGGTCTCCATTTTGTGCCAGAATAATTTTTTTACCCATATTAAGAAACATCAGGAGTTTGCTTTTCCTATATTCCTTGGTTCCTTTTCCTGCTAAATAAATGAAAATGGCAGATAATGTAGAAAGAGAATAGAAGAGTCTCATGGTGGAAAAGAGGTCTCAGGATCTCTATAATGTCAGCAATAGGTATCAACTCTTTGCTTAAAAAAACCATGAGAAGCTTGAGAGTTACTGGATCAGCATTGGATGAGACAAACGGGAGGGAGAGGGGGCTGAAAGCAAAGGCAGCTCTAAAATGAGACAGTCTACTCTACTACAAACAAGCTAACTGCCAAACTGTCATTTTGCCATGTGGCTGAACAGAAGGCCCATGTAATGACAAGCACCAAACTCATTTAAACTCTGAAAAGGTGACTAATGAGCTCATTCATCCTGCCTATAAATTATTCACTACAATGCTGACCCCACTGAAAACAAACCGCAAAGTAAACTTTAAACTCAGAAATCGGGGTGGAGTAGGGGGCTCCAAGGAACTGAACTTAGGCTTCCAAAACCGTTTTCAATGAAACAGATTCTAGGCCACTTCTGCTCTTTTATCTAGAGTCATTCTTATGTGTACCCTTTCTTTAGTGCCTTTAATTAAGTTAAAGTAGGCCCAGCTGTTGCACATTTATTCCTCTGTTAAAGAAAAGTGGATCTTCTCCCTCCTTTTCCTATTTGGTATTATAGGCAACCATAAAACTGTATAAAATGCATTAATTATGTTCTCCAGAATGGAATGGGTGACCTTAAAATGAAACCCTTCTCTACATACAAAAGTATCATATATGCACACCTGATTAATGAGAAGCACCACAACTAGGAGAAAAAGATTAAAGTGACATTTGCTTTCAATTATTTTAACTGTTGATTACCCCATTTTACATTTGCTTCAGGTCAGCTCAAAATATCTGGTGAAGAGGAAAAGTTATACATAAATACTATTGTAGCACAATAATTTACACCAGTGGCCCCCAACTTTTTGGGCACCAGGGACCAGTTCCATGGAGAGAGGTTTTTCCACGGGCCGGAACGGGCATGGTTTCATGTGTTGCCTGCTTCCGGCGGATGTTTGTGCATCCTGGTTTCTGGCACGCCACGATCTGGTGCCAGTCCATGGACTGGGGGTTGGGGACCCCTGGTTTACACAAATGAAAAAAGAAAATTATTAAAAATAAATGAGAATATCCCCACATTCAGCTTTATTATCAAAGCTAAAAAACTGGAGCAACAGTTTTTGCTCCAGAACCAGTATTTCCAACTTCCTTATTACAAACAGGTATCGTATATTCATCCCTTTGTTAATCTCAAAGGAGGTATCTATATGCTTAACATCATCAACTGTAGTAAATGATATCAAAGCATTTATTGTAACGTAGCTGTTTGACTGGGGCTCCGTGTAACTTTACATCATATCAGGTCCAAGTTCTTTTTGCTAATTTATACAAACAACTTATGTGCCTTTAGAAATTATCATTCAAACCTTGTGTTAGTTAATGTTGAACAGAATGTAAAATTGAATAATGAACCAGTAGGCCAAAATCCATTCTCAAATGCCTAATTTTCCATTCCATAAAGCTACAGCACTTGACATGCTCTCAGTATCATGTGACATTTAAAAAATAAGAAATAACTGGTATATGAAAAGACATCAGCAGTTTAACAGTTGCATACAATTTAATACTGTAACATTGCAATTTTGCCGTTATAAAAGCAACCACCCTGTAGTGCTCCTCTGAGCAGAAATATATCACATACATGAAGTACACTTGAAATTTAAAGACATGGTCACTAAACAGAACCTGAGCTTGCAACATAATTTCATTCATTCAGTTTTTGAATGGCAGAATAACAGGATTTTGAAATTCTTGTCCTTGCAATTGGTAAAAAGGGAGAAAGGCTGGGATGAAGGAGGGATGAAGATAATAGCAGCCAATTATTGTGCAACCTGTGGACATATCCACAAGTCTTAACACATCAAAAGCTTTCCAACTGATGAATCAGGTATCTGGTGTTGAAGGGTGTTGGCAAAACTGCTCTGAAACTGTATCACATGTTTTCTCTCAATAACCTGTTTGACTAGCAGAGTTCACCTCTCAGTTCACTGATGAGGAACAGAAGAACACCCCTTCTTTCCACAGCTGCTTCTTCATTTACCTAATGGCAAATTATGTCACTTCTGCCTTAGGTCATGAGATAGATAAAAAGATGTACAAAATAATGAATAAAGCAGAGGGAGTAGGATGCCCAAAGAAAACAAAACTGTTGTTGTTGTTGTTCTGCTAAATGTAATATGGGAAGGGAAATTTTACTACAGAGAAGTAGAAGGTAGATAAGAAATGGCCCTATGTCATAGCCCCAGGGCCTTCCAGAAACTTAGGATTTGGGTTCCTGTCAGCCTCAGCCAGCCTGGCCAATGACAACAGACTATGGGAGTTGTCTATCCAATATAGATCCCAAGTTGTCTACCCTATATAGTAGCGGCCCTTGACCTTTCTAGCTCTGCAGATCGGCAGCAGCTGTGGGGGGGGGGAAGAGAAGATGGTTTCAAGCATGTGCCCACCACTTGTGTACATGGAGCTTCCACATCTGCCTGCCGTTTGTGTAGCCTGGTCCCCAATGGGCCGTGGCCCGGGCTGTGGCCTGGGGGTTGGAAACCCTGCTATATAGCTATAACATAATAATTAAAGACAAAAATAAAATTAAATCTAGGTTTATTCTAAGGCGGCAATCCTATGCACACTTACCTGTGAGTAAACACCATATAACATAGTGGGACTTACTTCTGAGCAGACATGCATAGGATTGTGCTGCATACCTTTAAAAGAAAAGAAAAGAAGATTCACTACAAGAAACATTACTTCGCCAGAGCAAGGCACCATACTTCTCCTTTTTATTATTGTGCTGTTAATTTCTACTGATTCTGATCCTTGCTTCTAACAGCAGTCTGTTTCACTGAAGAAATTGTAATATTTTACACTGGCTGTGTTTTGCCCAACATAGCATAAATTAGCCAACCATATTTTAAGCCTAGTGTTGTGCATGACCAATCTTGTCTGCCTAATTGATGGTTCAGTATGTTGAGTAAATCGAGAAAATTTGGTTAACTAAGCATACTCAGTTGATGATGAATATGGGTATCATGTAAACATAGCCATTTAATTAAAGGTTGTTTGAGGAGGCATCACTGTTTAGGTATATACATTTTTCCACCTTTGCCAAATAGGTTTTGTGGATTTTGCACCAATGTAAAAACAATTAATCCTGAACCTCTGCCACCAATGTTTATAAACGACTGGAAGATATAACAATATACAAATGGAATAAATATTTAAAACTTAATGGTATAAAAGAAGGGCATAAGAAAGGTCCTTCAGTAGAACTTTTAATGGGAAGGATGGAAATCAGACTTCAGTTCTATATCTAGAAAAGATTTAGTTCCTTGTTTTCTGTATCTGATTTCCACATCTTATCTCCTCATTCAGTTTTTTTATATTCTACCACAATTCTCACTTTTTCAAAATGTCAGCTTTATGAGTCTACCATCCACAGAACATTTTACCACCAAGAAACATAACCAAATACAGTCATAAAGCAAATCAAAACATTAAATTGAAAATTACTGCCAGCAGATGTAGTAAGAGCCACCCATTTAGACAATTTCGTGAGTAGCCAGGCTACCAGTGGCTATTCTTCGTAATGACTGTATACTACTTCATGTGTCATAGACAGTGTTCTGTAATCAGATACTGATATGGAGCTTTAATATGTTCTCTATCTAGGTTTGCCATTTTTGTTACAATCAGACAAGCATGGGTTGTGGAAGTTATGGAGAAAACCTCTGCTCCTGGATTTATGTCTGTTTGGGCTATTGAAGTGAAAATATATGTACTAAAAATGGCAACATTATATATAAGTGATGGTCAGAAAAGTATTACAGTACAGATTAATCAAGATTGATAAAATGATTAAGGGGCTGGTGGCTTCTCATTGCAGGTGATACGGAAGAAGTGGATTATCTTGAAAATATTCCAACTGGATTCAGAGCAGGCTATGAACATCACAGACTCTCAGTATACTCTAATCCCCATGCCTAGGTTCAAATCATGACTTAAATCCCATGCAAAATACTGGGGCCAATCTAATCTCAGGGGAAACACCTTCCATAAGGCAGTAGCATCAACTGAGAAGGCTCACTTCCTGGGTTCTGCAAAATGACATTTTTTAATGGAGGGGACCTGCATCATGCATAATGACTAGGAAGAAGCAGTCCAGCAAATAATCTTTCCCTGTACCACAAAAGGTCTTATAGATGACAACCAGCATCTTGAGTTGCACCCAGAAGCACACTCTCAATCAATGTAGTTCTTAGAGCAAAGAAATATCTGTACACTGCAATATATTCATAACTATCTCTGGTTCTACATTCTTCACCAGCTGTTGCTTCTGGATGCTCTTCAAATACTGTCCAATGAATAGCACACTGCAGTAATCCCACTCAGGTGGTGACTAAAACATAAGCAACCATGAGCAGAGACTCTAGGTCCACGAAAGGGCACAACTGTGCACAAGGTGAAGTTGTTTGAAAGCCCTATTGGCCATGACTGCCAATTGTTTCTTGTATAGGAGTTGTGAGTCCAGAATAACCCAACCCCCAGGTTGTTTATTTGATCCAGTACAAGAGATGGCAAATCCTTGGATCCAGAGGGCCCCTAAGAGCCATTGAGGTCTGTTCCTGACTCCCATAGCCTCTAGACACTGAGGCAGAACCTTCACATGGTCAGCCAGAGACAGAGATGTAAAGCTGATACTTTATCCCATGCCTGCACATGAACTCATCCCAAGGCTTCATGTGGATGATAAACTGGAATACATTATATACATTAGATCTGTTCCCCTTATCAACACCCACTAGAACTGATCCTGGAGGAAATTAGATATCAAAAAAAGTTCACAGGAATACGAATGTAATCTCTGTCTGCAATTCCTTAAACCAACCCAATTCTTTTTTTAAATAAAGAGTTCTGAACATTTCCCTCTTAACATATTTTAATGTTTACATATTTTAATTCATTTTAGCCTTTTTGAGTTTATTTCTTAATTTATAAGCAATTTAAAAGCTTGGTACTCCATAATACGAGGACAATTCAAAAATAAACCTTCGTTTGGTTATCAATGACAGACACTTGCAGATGCAGAACTTTTATTATACACTTTAGAAAACTACAAGATTACATTACTTTTCTACATAATCGCCATTCAAATTCTCATAACGTCTTACAAGGTTTGAAAGTTCTTAGTAGTAGTCGCTCAGCGCCAAATCTGGGTTATGGGGGGGGGTGATCAAAAACCAACACATCGGAAGTGGTGCCATAGAAAATCCTGCCAAATGTGAAGATGCCAAAGGAGAATTGCTAGTGAAGTTCATGGAGCATGGTTCGACCATCAATTCAGAAGTCTACTGTGAAAACTCAGACAAGCCATTCATAACAAAGCGCCGGGACATGCTGATTTTCGGTGTGGTGTTGGTTCATGATAATGCTCGCCCGCACACCGCTAGACACACCCAAGAACTTTTGAAGCAGTTTTGTTGGGATGTTTTTGATCACCACCACCACCCCCCTAGCCCAGATTTGGCGCCAAGCGACTACTACTAATGAATTTCAAACCTTGTAAGACGTTATGACAAGTGCCTCAATTTGAATGGCAATTATGTAGAAAAATAATGTAACATAGTTTTCTAATGTGTACAATAAAAGTTCTATATCTGTGAGTGTCTGTCATTGATAACGGAGCTTTATTTCCAAATTGCCCTCATATATAAAGTAAAATATTAATTAATAATAAGAATACTGTTATTAATAAGTAAATTAAATTAAAAGTCAAATAAATGCATACTAAATGCATATATAAAAGCACTAATATAATCCCAATGCATTTATAATATCAAACTGATTCATGCAGCTCATTCAACATAGAAAGTATCTTTTCTAAAATCTATCTTAGTTGGATAATTGGCTTGTTATTATTATTTTCTATACTCCCCAAAGAATCTGGGAAAACTGTAGCTCATAAATTGACCATCAATCCCTGCCTCTATATTTAGGATTAAAACCTGTGTAACTGTTGCCAGTCAAAATAAGCAATGCAAAGTTAAATGCACCAGCAGCCTAACTGAAAATTAGATCACTTTTGCTGTTTTTATGTTGATATTCTTTACTTTACTTCAAGCTCTTCTTTTCTATGTTTCAATTGTCCAATTTGGTCTCTCCTGACTACTCTGTTCCGCATTACTCAAATCAGTCACTGCTGTTGTTACTGTCTCTATCATATGAAAGCCTTCTTTAAAATGTTTATACTGACTTTCTGTCTATTTCTGGAGCAGTATAAGCTCAAACGTGATACACTTGTACTCTCACTATGCAGTCAGTATGATGAATAGAGCATTGGCAATGAAAGGGAGAAATCTAAGTGCAATCTTTCAATCTCACAGTTAAATAACCACTAATCCCGTTTCCACAACAGTTGCATTTCAGTTACCTGCTCATCAGTGTTTCTGGTATCACACAATCCAAATAAGTGAGCAAAAAGGCCCAACTTTATGAATACATAATCTTGCCCACTTTCTCCAGCAAATCCCTGTTGCCCCTATCATAAGCACAAGAAGAGTACTGGCATGGCTTCATTACTTTCCTAAGCCTATCTCCATTGGCTATTAAATGCAATCATTGTTTATGAGATTTGTTCTGTGCTGCAAAGAATATTGTAATGGAGGAACTTGCTTTTTCAGTATTTCTTTCTTTCCAGTTGATTTCCCTGGAGGGTAAAGAAATTGACAGGATTTTAGTATTTTAACAATATCACTGATTAGATTGAGTAGGTTTTATCATATGCAGACCTTATGGGTTTGTTTGGCTGAATCTAATCAACTTCTCCTGCACCAACCCTAACATGCTTTAAAAATGGAATCATTATCTACCACTCTGATTCAGTCTTCCCCAACTTGATATCTTTGAGATATGTTGGATTACCCTTCTTATCAATATCAGACATCAAGACTGCATTGTAATTCTCAAGTTGGCATAGCACCATGAGAATGACTGATCAAGCACAGAGTGATGCATGCCCTTGTTTGGTTAAACCAGGAATTATAGTTATAATATAATTATTGTACTTGTTTAGACAAATTAAGAGGAACAAGCCAGAAGAAGAAGGGAAGACCATATTAGCGCAAATTTCTATATGTAACCAAATAATTGAAAATCTTGGATCTCTAACAGTTGGACAGTAATACAGCCTAATTTATCTCTCACCACTATCCTAACCCTAAACTTGCTGATTGAAACTTATGGAAGTTGCTATCTAAAAGATCTGGACATCTAAGAGTAAGTCATGCTGTCATACAATATATCATAGTTTAGAATTATCTGAAAATATAAGAGTTACAAGAAACTCTTATATTGATAAAAATGGGAAGAAGTTCCTTAATAGAAGAATGAAGTGTATTCTCTTTGGAAATGGAAGTTGCACCATTTTGTAGCATAGTTCCTGAGTGCCCTTTTCTATGAATACAGTGACATTATTTCTGGAGTATTAACCAAGAAATAAGTTTTGCATTTTCAATTTTAAAACATTATATAAAACAAACACCAATTCAAGTCCTAATTGATTTATCTGATATTCAGTCTTTTGTGAATTGTGTATATTATATGAAAATACAAATTCAATTTATTTCAGTAGGGTTGTTTACTAATTTATGGGCTTTTTATTTCAACCTAAAACCAAACCTGACCATCAAACAGTCAATGATATTACATATTCAGTGTAGTGCATGTTTAGAGACAAAGACATAAAAAATAAGAACACATCCATCAAATTACTTAAATGCATTTGTTTCCAGAAGGTATTATTTGAAGCAGCTTATTATAATGCAAACCAAATCAGCATTATTTGTAAGATACAAAGAATATAAGAAGATATTATTTGCTTCACATTTTTAGTACCCATAGGAAAAGCACATAACCTGAAAAATATAAGGAAGTGAAATATCACTATTACAGTCAAATGAACATAAAATGCTATAGCACTTCAGGAAAGTATGTCAGATATTTAAGTTTTAAGAGGCTGGTGGAATAGGAAGGGCCAAAGCAAATGTTCCATGTATAATATCAGAAATAAATGAAATGGACAGTCATGGGTAACACAATGAAGAAAAAACATGCATACTATCCTAAATCTTATCGTAGGGAAGTGCAATCCATAATTCCAGGGATGCATTTAGTCACACCTTTCTGGCAGGGTCCATGATGCCTCTCTGATTGAACCCTGAGGCAGCAAAGCACAAGAAAATTGAAATGTAAATTTAAAACAAGCTTAATACAATTAAATTTGATGCCTGTTGAAAAACAGTACCTTTTCATTATTTTCAATTTAATATGGGATTAAATTCACTCAGAAGAATTGCTTGATAGTGAGATGGGCAGTATATAAATTTAATTAATAAATAAATCTACTCCAGTTCTTGCCACTAATAGCTAAACACTATTTGTTTAATATTTTTGCATGCGTGATCACCTGCCAGACACATGGTGCAGAAACATCTTACTGGTCATTCTGGGAAGAAATATGGACTTCTAGGTAAATCAATAGACTGCTTTAAAAATGAATAACCTACTAAGTAGATGCTAAAATTATACAATCATTCAATGATAGTTGAGAAAGGATCTTTATAAGCTACTTCAAACTTTTTTATTTTGAAATATCAGTTCAGAACCAATCCTTCCAACGTTACACATCTCTATGTATTTCTGAAAGACAACAAGAAGTCTCCTTCATTTTCCATATATTGCTCCTCTAAAGTAAATATGGGGTCATGCAGGGGATACAGTGAGGAGAATGAATCTATTCCAATGCTTGATGCATTTTATAAAAATGTAGATACAATTGGAATGAAATGTACCTTTGGCCTGTATGGTTAGTTTATGGTTCACTAAGTTGTACTAACCAAGAAAATTGGATCAAGCAAATCATGCGTAGTTTAACCATGAATAATCATATTATGCAAAACAGCCTGTATATTATATATCCCATGACCAACTATAACAAAAAAATAGTGCCAAATGCATATTTTCATTCAATATTTTAATATTGTATCAGGACTATTTCTATACTACGGATATATGTGTGTTTATGTGTGTGCATATCTGTATATGTGGATTCTATTCTTACAAATTTCAACAAATTGAGGAAAAAAGAAACTGATAAGAGGTAGAATCCTTCAGTTTTGCTGATGAAGATGTCACCAGATACACAACTCAATTTTCTGTGGAAAAGACTAAAAGGCAAAAGCTCAGTATACTGTAAGAATGAAGCACCTGAGATAGATGAGCCATTGTAGAATCACTGACTCTGAATTCATTTATTTATATCAAATATTTTTTCCTGAAAAGCCAGAGGACGAAATAAAATGAGAGAAGTGAAATGTGATACGAGTTTCTTTTAGATAAAAGTAATAAAATCAAATTTGTAGACTAATAAGTGATAAGCACTCTGGGAAAAGAAATACATAATTGTCTGTTACACAAAACAAACAGTATTTTCTGATGAAGGAAGGAAAGAAAGGAGGGAGAGGGAGAGGGAGAGGGAGAGGGAGAGAGAGAGAGAGAGAGAGAGAGAGAGAATCAGTGCCTGCTCTCAAGCTACTGCAATTCCTGGAGTAAAAAAAAATCTCCCACTCCAACAGAAAGAGAAAGAAGAAAATATCCAGGCAGCCCGAAGCTTTGCAGGTGACTTGAATCTATTAAACAGTAGAGGAAAACTCACAGAATTTTTGTTTTACTTTGTTTACTTCATCTGGACCATTGATGGGGAAACAGAGATTTCTCAAGCTAGCATTCACCTTAACAAAACTTACTAGGGCAGTTAAAGTCCAAAAGTTGCGTTAAGGAATGAAGTAATCAGGAACTATGTTCTGCTCATGCTCCACCAACTTCCAACGTTTCTGTCTGAAAACGAACTCCATAGCTCAACTGAGCTGGCAGTAAATTCACCCAACTGCCAAGATAGACCATTATATGAGAGTGCAAGACTACATAGCCAATCTCTGACCTGTGCAAGTTCTTATGAAAGTATTCTTACTCTTGGGTAAGTAGATGTAAGGATTGCACTTTCTGAAAAGAATACATTGTATCCTGTTACTAGTTTGAAGGGTGATCATTTTAATTTTGAGCATTTATCAGATAAGATAAACTAAACTAAGCTAGGCTATGCTAAGCTAAAGAACACACACAAAGTTTGGTGCATTTATTTTTATCTGAATACATATCATTTTTGACTGGGACAAATATTTTAAAGGCTTTCTTTAAATGCTAGATATCACTTACTGAAAATGAATTAACAAACTTTAGGGCTGTAGAGAAAGTCTATGTCAAGATAAGCTGAAGTCCTGGTGACAACTAAGCATCCACATACATTCTATTCAATATGAAAGTAATTTTGCCTTCTTTGCTTCCTAGGTTCGTCTAAACCTCTGGGATTCCCTGATATTCTCCTATCAAAATACTAGTTAGGCCTAATACTGCTTAGCTTTTCAAAATCCTAGGTAAGGCTAACATTGTTTAGCTTTTCAAGATCCATAATGGTCAGTTAGATGCTGCCACCTGGTATAGATTTTAGGGCTATAAAGTTCTAAAATAATCTCTCCAAAACAATACACACCTTCAGTAAAGAAAATAGATAATATATATCTCTCTCTATTTATCTAACTATCTCTCTGTCTATCTCTATCCATCCATCCACCATACACATTCCATTGGCATTGTGGTGTTATCTAAAGAATGTCAGTTCCTCCTCCCATTTTGAGGGCCATCCCTAATCCAAGAGGCTTTCTAGATGCATTGAGATAATGTCCCAGAATAACAACAAGGCTGGGAATTCTGCAGGTAGTAACTACAGTACCACTATAGACCCAAGTCATGTATAACTGAATGATGACATTAAAAGAAAACACAATGGCTAGTGAAAGGGGCTGCACTTTTACTAATGATATAAATTATAAATATTTAATGGATTTCAATAGTCAATTGCCATAAATAACAATATTTTTTCTCCAGATTTATTGATGTAAATGAGGCTTGAGAAAGTTAAACTGAATGATACAGTTTTGATGTCTAACGACCTCAATCTTTTGGAACTAATCTCTCTCTGAATTGCTATACGACAGAAGGGTAAAAACTTCTTAAGTTCAGGAACCCATAGTTCTACGTCAGGGGCCACATTCCAAAAAGTAATGCATAGGGTCAGGATAAAAATTAAATTTGGTTTGATTTCATTTACATTTAATATAAATTTAATTAGTTAATTATAGCAGTATGATTAAAATTCATATCCTGACAGCAGTTAATCTCTCTAATCTAATCTAAAGATCCTAGTTTGCATACAATATTATAAACACTTGGAGTGAACCTTGCTTTTTAATGAATTTAATGCACACTACCTAAATTGTGCCTTATTCTTTCACTTAGCTGTGAATGCTGCATATAGTGTGAGCATTTCTAAGTCTAGTAACCTGGCCACACCATCTTTATTTTACCAAAAGGTGTTACATGAAAGCCTGATTTGACCAAAACCATAATGGATAGCAAAATCTATTTCCTGATGACCATAGCATATGGTGGATTGTAATTTGGATTATAGATGGAGTAATCTATAAAGAATATAAATTAGCAAAATAATTAATGAAAGAAAATATGATGTGTTGTGTTTATATGAAAATGGAGGAAAGTTTATAGAAGTTAAATAAGTTGATCTGATCTTCTTCATGCAGTTAAATGAAGATATATAGTTCACAATAATTATGAATCAAAAGGCAAACATATGTTAGAAAGTATTGATTGGCATCGTCTAGGTTGTGTGTATTTGTATAAAATTAAAAATCATAGGCTGATCATAGCTGTATTTTATACTCCAGTGAACAGTAATAATGGAACAACCAGAGACAGGTTTTGTGGGAATCATACAATATTCTGAATGAATGCAATTCAGAGGGGAAAATTTATCTGCCAGATGACATGATGGCTGATGGGAATGAGATGATAGAGTACAGAAACAGCTATTGGTTCATTCAGAAACCCAAGAATGAATGAGAATGAATGAGTGTCTGCTTAGCAAAAGCTCTAGTTGGTTATGGCACAAATATATCTATATGCCCCTATGGCAAAGGAATGAATATAGATAGAATATACATTATAAAAGATTGACAGAATTAGTAAAGAATAAAAAGATGTTGAATGTGGGGCAAACCATTTGTTGGTAGAAATGAGAGTAAATCTTGAGGTAAACAGATATGGAAGAAAAGCAAATTGAAATGAGAATGACAATGCAACAATTGTAGGAAGCAAAAGAACAAATCTTATATGGAAAAGCATGATAAAATAGATTAATCTTTCAAAAGAATGAACAGAATGTGGACAAAAGAAAATGTAGAAACTGGAACAGAATGAAAAGAATTATGTTACAATGTGACATAGAAGTGTATGGAATTACACTAAAGGGAATTATGAAAAAGAATACAAGCAAGAGTTTAGAAAATGAATGAAGAAATTTTAAATTGGACAGGTGCTAATAGAAATATAGTGCATACATGTGGACTGGGAACTGGAAACTGAACATTTGTTAAAGACATTCTGCCCATTTTACAGTGTTATATGGCAATAGATTTGGATATATTGGGAGCAACATAAAATGCACTGGCAATGGAGCATTTACTGTAACTGTGTGGTCAAACAAAAACAGGTAAAATTACAAATGAATGGTAATAAATTAGTGTGAACTGAATATAAAATGAGAGTTATGAAAGAAGAACACTGAGGTAGTTTGGTCATATAGAGAATGAATGAATTGTAAAACAAATACGTAAAGGGTTAAGGGTTAAAAAACCACAATTGCATGGAACTGATGAGATTTTGAGAAAAAAGAAAGGTGAGAAGTTTAAAGAAAAAATGCAATGTATTAAACGGTATATGGGTATAATAAAGCAAGGACAGTTTGCAAGGACCGAAATTTGTAGAGAAGTATAGTGAATGGTGTCAGTTTAAATTATATTTAGATTTGTTTCCTTTTTTCTCTTTATCACCTTTCATTTTAGTGGCTGTCTTTTTCTACTTTTCTTCATGTAGCACAGCATTATTTACCCTGAAAAGAAATATCATGGTGAATGTATATGCATAATGATTACACTGCAGTCATGTATTCTGCCAAATTAAAAATTGCACTTGGTGGCAGCTTTTGAGTCTGGCTTTCTGGGGCCACAGCTAATCCTAGAATCCTAAACTTCTTGGGTTGTACACCTGGGTTATAAATAGAAACATCTGTTTTTGAACTATTATTTGTTAGGGTACGGTTATAAGAGAGGTAGTAAGGTGCCAGTACATGTTTATTCCAAGTATTTTATACTGTTCCCAATTATAAAAAAAATCCTGAAGTGGTTTACAACAGCTATGACAACGTTAATAATACAGTAGGAAGAACTAAAACCAAAACTAAAAGTGTTAAAAATATTATTAAAGAGAGAAGGCCAACACAGCTGAATTTTTTAAAAATGACTAAAACATGTCAGCCCTGGAGATTGTTGTTCCCCAGAAAGAAGATCATTCATCAACATAGATGCCATTCCACAGAAGTTTACCTATGTGTCATCATCATGAAATCTATAAATAATGTATTTCACTTTGGAATTTCAATTAACATGTCTTGAATGAAAGTGTTTTCCCAGGAGTCATTGCTTTATGTATACAGGAAGTCCTCATTCAGAGATCATGCATTCAGCAACAGTTTAAAGTTACAATGGTGCTGAATTGGAAGACTTAGGATCTCATAGTTGTGGCCATTGCAATGTCTCTGCACCCACATGATCACCATTCGGATGCTTAGCAACTACCTCACAATTCTAGTTGCAGCATCCCATGATCATGTGATCATCATTTGCAACTTCTATTGCCTGCTTATGGCAAGCAAAATGAATGGGGAAGCCCTCCAGAGATCAAAAAATGGTAATCATATGACATCTAATGACTGTGCGAGATTCACCTAACAACAGCGACTGCAACTGCCACTGTAAGTCAGCACACTCATACATGGCAAATCTATATGATCCATGTACTTTGGAAGGGCAAGGAAACAATTGAAGATGGAAGATTACTAAAGTCTTCTCTAAAAGGAACTTAACTTTGTTCCTGTTTTATAATTTGTATACAGATAGTCCACAACTTACAACCACAATTGAACCCAAAATTTCTGTTGCTAAACAAAACATTTGTTAAGTGAATTTTGCCCCATTTTTATGATTTTTTTTTTTTGCCACAGTTGTTAAGAGAATCACTGCAGTTGTTAAGTTAGTAACTTGGTTGCTAAAAGAATCTGGCTTCCTCGTTGACTTTGCCTATCAGAAGGTCACAAAAGGAGGTCACATGACATTAGGACACTGCAACTGTCATACATATGAGTCAGCTGCCAAATTTTTGAATGTTGATCACATGACCATGGGAATGCTGCAATGGTGGTAAGTATGAAAAACAGTTTTAAGTTATTTTTTTTAGTGCCTCTGTAATTTCAAATGGTCACTAAATGAACTGTTGTAAGTCGAGGACTACTTGTTTTTCACATATACATCCACTGACTGACCCAACTCTTCTCCTCTCCCTTAGGAATTTTCACTTCTCTTCTGAAGAAAAATGTTCTGCCCGGACACTTTCTATTAAAATATTGCTCAATATTCGATATTCAGTCAAATTTCTTAACAAGTCAAATCAGTCAAATCAGTCAAATTTCAGAACAAGATAAGCAACCAGGATCCTAGGATTGCCTATCTATTTTCCTAAATGCAGTTTAGGTACTTTTTGCATTTAAAGTGCCAAGAGATGTCTATGAATAAATATAAATATGTATTACATCACTCATCTAGACCATGATCAAATCATTTAGTACATCTGTTAATATAGGTAATCCTGGACTTAACAACCAAATATGGGGCCAGAACTTCCCTCACTAAGCAATGCCATTTAGTGAGTCATCCCTGATTTTATGACTTTTTGCCACTGTCATTAAGAGAATCATATGGTTATGATTTAAGCAAATCTGCCTTTCCCCTTGACTTTCCTTGTTGAACACTCCCTTGGAAGGTTGTTAAGTGGACACCACATGACTGCATTGTAAATACATGCTGGTTGCCAAAAGCCCAAAGTTTGATCACATGACTGTGGGGATCCTGCAAAGGTCCTAAGGACAGATTGTAAGTCACTTTTTTTTAGCACTTCATAAGTTGAAGACTGTCTGTTTGTCTAAGTTTCTGCATTTCATCTAGAGCCCTGTTCAATACAACACTCCTCATAGGAAGTTTATTCAGATTATGCTAATTAGGTCAAAGATTGCAACCTCACATAGCTACATTTTTCTCTAGAACAGTGGTACTTAAACTGTTTGATTCCAGACTGTTGTTCAGCAAAATTGCAAACTAGATGCTTGCAATTCCGAGGAATTTAAAATTGCTTCATATGCCCAAATTATTGCCATTTTAAGAATCACCACCAATATGAGCTGAAGACCAGCAGCAGCCACATCCCATTGTTTAGGATAGAGAAGATGGAGGTTGGTTGAAAGTAAGGAAGGACATACCACAATCATCTGCGTATGATCTACTATAGTGGTAAACTTAAGAAAGTAATTCAGATAAGGGACTTAGTAGCATGTGCACTAATATTTACCATTCTGCTGCAGCACTAAGATTGTTGTCATTACCAGAAATATATTTTGCTGCAAAAATGTATTGATGATGGTTAAGAACTTATTATAAAAACATGGAAGTTCATGTTTGAATCAATCAGTTTCTCTCTCAACCAACTTCCTTTCTTTTGCTGGAGGAAAAAACGGGAGATGAATGTGCTATACACAGCCTAAACACAAACACACTCACACACACAAATAAAGATTGCAGATGTACTTCACAAAGGGAGACCTAAGTGCAAAACTTAATAGCATGGGTAATGTATCTCTTGATGCACTTGGCTAGTTTATTTAACAAGTGCAAATTAACTTCAATTATTCATGATGCTCCTTTGTGCCAACCATTTTTTGATTTAACATATCCTGCAAAAGTGATATGTTTTACTTCTGCAAGTAGTATGATTAATCATTATTTTTTCTCAGTTAGCACATTTGTCTTATTGTCTTTACTATAACAATGCTCTTATTTTGGATTACAGCCCTTGTATTTTCTATGTCAGTATGTAAACCCCTTCCTAGGGTGCATAGCATTCCATCTCTTAACTAAGTACAAATAAATCATGAGTTTACTGTAATATTAATGTATAAAACTATTAATTAGTATACCAATGCAAAAGGTGGTTTATATAAATTGCAGCTTTAGAGGTATTTCAGGTAAATTTACTGATATATTTTTCTATTATATCTTTAACTTGAGTTAAATCTCCTCCGAGTTTAACCCAAAATCACTCAGTAAACTTCTGAGATTGCCCACAATGATCAGCTGTGGCCTTTTCAGGGGCCCAAGAGATGCCATTCTGTTCCATAAATATACCGTGTGTTGAATCTGTAATCCTCCTTTATCATGCTTCTATAATTCCCAGCAATCTAGCCAGCCAGGCCCTTTGTGAGAAATACTGAAGAGCCGTATATCTATACATCTATGAAATAGCACACAGTGTAGTTCCAACAGAGGACAAAGCTTCAGCTGTTGCTGCCGCTTTGATGGTGGTCAAATTATATTTTTAAAAGAGACCTAGAATTGAAGACACATACTTCAGATTAATACAACAGTCTCTGAGTGCTTAGGAAGAATCTGTCTCATCATTCTAATAAACAAAGTAAAGTGTTTTTCCCACCATCACTTTAACATGGGATCAGAAAATAAAATAAAAAAAATCACAAGTATGATAAATGCTGGGGGACAATTGCTGAATTCTGTTAAAGGAAATGTTGTTATGCTGACCAAAGAAATAAAAAAATAGCAAAAAAAATTGTGCATCACTTTTATAGATCAACTCAACTAATGCGCAGGTGTGAAATTCCTCCAGAATTCTTTATCAGGCACAATGAAGGTAAATACAGCCAATGAAAGGTACTGGAGGTGATGGCTGACATTTAAGCCTATATTCAGTTACCACTGTAATTAACCATAGATATTAAATTTAGGCTGAATTAGGCACTGAGCTATTTTGTGTTGTATCTAAAACTCTGCCAAGGGATCCTGGGATGACCCACCTTTCAAAAATAATATAAATTCCAACTGCTAATGCAGTATTCTCTTTGTATAAATGAAGACATTTTAAAAAATTCCTAAACTCTGATTAATGATACTGGCAGAGAAGCATTTTTTCTCTCTCTCTGGTGAATTTTATCAAGTGTGGTTTCGTTTAGTCATGCAACCCTTTTCTAGAGATTTCTGATGAATAAGCAAGAAGTACATCCAAAGAAAATGAAATCTCACTTGCAATTCTTGGGAACTGTAAAGGTAGAGAAGAGCTTGTTTAACCTCACATGGCAGCTTCATGTAAACAGGGCAATGTGCTGATATCAACCATATCACAGAATAACTTGTTTGGGGAACCCAAACTTATGTTTACCACTTCTCTTAAATTTATTTTAGTAACTTTAGAAACACACACAGACACACACATATTATATGTATAGGTAAGTGTGCAGACACACATACACAGATATACATAAATACATAGGTGATCCTCCCTTTAATGAAAGTAAGGAATAACACTCATTCCTGCTTTGGCTTTTCTACATTTCAAATTTAGATACCACTGTCTATGTTTAATTACGTAATTCCTAGAAAAGGTCAAAACAAAAAAGGCGAGCTTCAAAGCTGTCCTTGATCCAAAGTGCTCAAAGTCAGCTGCAGTTCCACCAACAACAGATCTGGCCTAAAATGTTTACAAAGAGGGGAATGAGTATTAATTATATCAACTTTACTTTTTCGGTTCACCTGTCCTGGAATGCTCTGCATGTCTGAAGTTAATCAACATGAAAGGTATGTATGACCAGAAAGCTGTAGTTTTCTGTTCCTTTTGAAACAAGAACATTTACTAACAGAAAATATTTCCAGAGTTTGTATCACCCTCTGAATAATATCAAATGTGGACAAGACATAATTAAATATTTGGCTGAACTTTCAAATAATAAATAAGGTGTCTTTCTCATAGTTCAAGAAAGTACTGGTTTTGCCCACTTGCGTGACATAACCTTGCTGATTTTGTACCATTGTACCACTCATTTTAAATACAACTCTCAGCCCAAAATGTTTACTTACCCCTCATCTACAGCAATGTAGGTGTGAGGAAATAGCAGCTTCCCCTAATCAGTTTTTATTAAACCTAATACCATTCATTTGGTTTTTAATTTTATTTCCCATTATCTCTCAGTATTTGGAGTATTTGATTTTTTTTAACCATCTTGTTGATTGCGTTGTATTTCAAGTGAATGGAGAAATAATGAAGCAATGCAGCCCTGGATTTAAAGAAAATATCAGAATTTAATTAAAAAAAAAAAGAAATCTGCCAGGGTCTAAACCAGTAACATTTTTATTCAGCAGGTAAAAGCCATAGCTGGTATCCTGTTTTAACACTGCTGTTAAAAGGAAAATCTGGAAGATATTAACGATCAGGCCAACTATTTATTCAGTTAAGATATGTTCCGTCTTCTGTGAAATAGCCAATGAATTGCTGGAGTTAGCCTGTAAGGAAATGAAGTGTACCAACCAAAATCGACAGGAAGTACTCAATAAATGGAAATGGTACTTTATAAACACAATAGAAAAGCACACCTAGAGGTCACTTCCCTGGTAATTCGAGGGTGAATGCAAGGTAACATTATTTTTTTCTATTTTGACATTTTTTTCTGTTTACAGATAATGATTGCTGGCCTACTTTGGCAATGGTGCAACAGGGCAGTTTGTATAAGCTCCAGGTCACTAATCCATTAAAAATTAAACATTGTGATTAAAAGCTAGGAGATAGTAGCAAATTTCAACAACAATGGAGTAACCTCAGTACGTCTCCTAGGGCCTCTGGGCTTGATAACATAACCAGGTTTTGAGGGACTTCTGGTAAACCAACAGGAATTGAGTCAGTCTCACTTTGTGGGCGAGGTGGAAGAGGATGTTCCATAAGGTGAGCAGAAAAAGCCTGCCTCCTAGGTCTTATTAAGTGTACCTCCCTAGCAGACTATTTATTTAACAAAATTTAGATGCTGCCCATCGCACAGATAGCATAGCATTCCTCTTCTGCTGGATCTGATGGGATGGGCTGATGCTCCTTACATCGCCCATGAATTAAATGGCAACCATATGCAGCCCAGAATTTGCTCAATATGTGTATCTCTACAATTTACTACCCTGATTTTCCACCTATTTATATGTATACAGCAATCCTCCTACTGCATAGACACCAAAATTTTGGGTGGATGTGGTACACTTGTCTCGAGTTTCTTTTATATAATTCTAATTAATAAAGGAAGTTAAAGATCTAATAATACCTGTAATAGTCCAAGTTATGAGGTGTAGAACTAGCTTTGATGCCTGCATCTGCTTTTTCAATTTTTCCAGTGTTTAAATTGAGATGACTAGATACAAGAAAAGGAATCTCTGCACAACAAACTCAAGTCATACTATCCCTACTTCCTGAAAATTAGATAAACCAAGATCTTTCCTCTCACATTACAGAGGTGGAGTCCTCAACTGGAGGCCCTAATACCATTTGTTATTAAATTTGTTGTTTTTTTGAAGCCCTTAACTCTACAAGGCTATGAGAAAGACGGAGTGCAAATCTAATGGAACAAGCTAATCTCAAGGAAGGTCTATTAAATTCAAATTTGTCAGGTTTCATTACTTCCAGTACTTATCCTCAATGATAGTAATTTCTAAGATCATTTTATTATTCACTATATTACAATGCTGCACTGCTGATGACCCTGTTTCTTCAACAACAAAGATCACATTTTGCTGAACTCATAATTGCCTTGAAATCCTAACAACTGTCACTCCTCCAGCCTAATTCCAAATGGAGAAATTAGCACTGCAAACTAATGCAGGTTTAGAAATCTGAAATAGGAACTCAGCCTCCATCTTCTCTGTGCCATTTTGCTCATGGAAGAGTAATTGCTGAGTTGGTTGGTAGAATTAAATATAATGATCATGAGTCTTGCCAAAAAATCAAAAGAAGAGTATCAACCCATTCATAAGAGGACAGATTTGTACAATATTGGAGTGCATTCATTTGCCAATAAGGGCAGTCACAGGGAAGAAGGTGTGAACTTATTATCCAAAGTACCCTAGACAAAACCAATGGAGGAAAGTACGTTTTACAATGAGAGGGCCAAACTTAAAATGAGAAGGAATAGTGAGAACTATTAAGCAACGGAACTGCTTGCCTTCTGAAGTCATGGAGGCTCCATCACTGAAAGTTTTCAAGAAAATATTGGACAGCCGTTTATCTGGGATGGTATGAAGAGTCCTGTACTGAACAGGGGATTGGACTAGAAGACTTACAATGTCCTTTCCAAAAAGCAGTTCTTTGATTCTTGGAGAAGGCTACGATTAGACAATCTGCTCAATTTGTGCCTGCTCAGCCTGGGTCCAGAAGGCATGATAACTAAATGAGCTACCTTGAGACTGTTTGCTCTCCCTTTCAATGATTCTTTATCTAGCTCACTTGGATTATACAGCCCTTAAAGACAGTATCCATTTCAATCAACATGGCCAAATCACTGGAAACAATAGGCTTTATAGTCCAAACACAAGGGTGAAGGAAAGTTTAAACTGAGAATGCTTTTCAGCAAACAGAGGACTGTTTTCCCCCCAGTCCCCAAAAAAGTAGGGCACACAGTCTCCTGCATATTTACCTATATTAATTGTAGATGCAGGGTTTCCCTTTTAAGGGGGATTAAACTTTTTTCTCTTGCATATTGTACTTTTGTTTAGGTTGGCTTCACTTCTGCAGCAATTTAGTAAACAAAAAAGGGTCCACCACGTTCTTAATATACAGCCTGACATTCTCGGTGATTTGTAGCTTTGAGTTTTGGCAAGAGCAAGGTTTAAAATGACATTTTCTTGTGTTCACCACATTAACATTTGGAAATGACTGAAATGTCTGCCTCTCACAAAATAGTATCTGCACACTGGTTTCTTCACTCAGGTACTAAATCAGTGGTTCTCAACCTTTTTAATGCCGCAACCCCCAACTGGTCGTAAGTCGAGGACTACTCAACCGGTCGTAAGTCGGGGACTACTCAACTGGTGTAGCACCGATTGCAGAATGGGACTTTTGGCGGGCTCAGCAGGGCAGAGACAGCCTGGACAATTCCTATTGGCTTTTGAAAGCCAATAGAATTAGACTCTATTCAAGAGAGTCTATTCTATTGGCTTTCAAAAGCCAATAGAATAAAAGGGAGTAGCACAGCTAAGGGAAAGGGGGAAAAAACAACGCGGACTGTGTTGTTTGGCGACCCCCGTGAAATGGTCGTTCGACCCTAAATGGGGTCCTGACCCACAGGTTGAGAACCACTGTACTAAATAAAGCACACACACAAACATATAGTCTAGGTTGTAAAATCAACCTTCACCATCTTTCTTTAACTGTCTGTGAGAAATTCTTTCAGTCATTCATCGGTGATGCAAAATCTAAGAATATGAGAGTGTTAGACAAAGGAAGAATACCAGAATATGTATTCATACATGTTCAGTTGTTTTTTGTTATACCACTTAGACCTAGTATAGTAATGTGAGGATGGATATGTTGTCTCAGAAACATACATTAATAACAGATGAAAATAATAGACCAAGCAGGATATTTTTTACTTTTATTACATTTTTGGAATTAGAATTGGGTGCTCTCATATTTGCAATGGCATTACTTATCTATAGGAAATCTTGCAACTTGCAGGTGACAGCCTTAGCAAAGTGTTAGTAACCAGAAGCCTTAATACAGGTAAGGTTCAATAATGTACTGTGTTGTCATTATCATGGGTTTCCAAGATAGTCTGAATTATAGAATTTCCACCAAATAAACTGCCAGGTCTTAATATGGTAGGGTGGTGGAACCAGAATATGCAGGTAGTCCTCGACTTACATTCATTCATTTAGTGACCGTTTGAAGTTACAGCAGCATTGAAAAAAGTGACTTATGACCACTTTTTACACTTATGACTGTTGCTGCAGCATCCTTAAGGTCACATGAACAAAATTTGGCACTGAT